GATAGAAGCCTGGACAGATCCTGAGTTATCTGCAGGACATGCAGGATGGGACCACATAGCCACGGTAGTTGACGTCTACTGGGAACAAGGGTACCAATCACCAAAGAAGAAAATCCGAATCGATACCATGGCGATTATGGATCCATCCAACAAAGCCAAGATCTTCGATATACTTGACCGATGTCCGCAGCCAGATTGGGCCACGAATGCAAGTGATCATGCCGTTCAGCTCACGCTATACTTCCAGCAGGAGCTGAGCAAGAATTTTCCAGCACCTAAACGCAAAACGCCAGAGTATACGCAACCTGATACTCGAGAGGTATACTCATCGATGGTAGCCAACAAGCGTGCCTTGCGGCAATTTCGACTGATAGAGCGATATCAGATCCTGTCCTTAGTGTTTTCCACCTGGGCTCGCAAGTCTGCACATCACGGAACACACAGTTGGACAATTGCCTTCAACCAGAAGTTTGCCAAGCTTGTTGCACAAACCTCGCAACTCGCTACTAGATTGAAAGTATGCCTTCGTCAGGATAGGAACCACTTTCTTTCTAAGATTGCCCAGGAAGTGAGTGAATGCTCGCCTGCCGAAGTGTATCGGAAATTAAGACCAGTTTTGAAGCCAGCTAAGAAGCAGGCAGCAGTCTTACAACCGCTACCAAAACTGCTTGACACAGAAGGACATCCAATTCTCGACAGAGCAGCGCAGAACCAACGCTGGACAAGTCATTTCGCCTCTGTAGAAGCGGGGCAAATCATCAGGGTTGAACAGTTTGTGCAGGAACACCTGCGGCGACAAATATACAGATGCAAACCAATGACCTATGATGTTGAGGACATCCCGTCCATGTTCGTCGTAGAAAGTGCAATTCGAGCAGCCACGGCGGGCAAAGCAACGGGACCAGATGGTATCCCGGAAGAGCTCTTCAAGGCTATCCCAGGGAAAGCGTCCAAAATTCTTTACCCACTGGCCTTGAAACTAGCCCTAAGAGTGGAAGAGCCCCTTACATGGAAGGGTGGTCACCTTTTTGCGCTCTATAAAGGGAAAGGATCAATGGCAGAGTGTGCGAATCACCGAGGAATTCTGCTTATGAATGTCATGGGGAAAATAACCCGAGCAAGCTTGCGTAAGTGGATTAACGAGCCATATTTAGTAGCTGGACATTCCATGCAGCTTGGAGGGAAACCTCATCAGCAAGCACAATTCGGGGCGCAACTCACAAGATCCTTCCTGAGATGGAGCAAAAGCAATAATAAGAGTGCAGCTGTTCTCTTCGTTGACATTGCTTCTGCCTTTTACAAAGCGTTGCGCGAGATCGCAACAGGAGCTGACGCGTCCGACCAGGACATTGCGCAGATAGTGAAAAGACTAGGACTTGGTCCAGAAGTAATGCCAGCACTCCATGAGGCACTACAAGGTAGAACAGCCTATGCTGCGCTCACTAAATCAGTACCAAGACAGCAAGTCCTCCAAGAGAGCTTACAAGGCACTTGGTTTTCTGTTGACGGTGAAGCAGTAGTAGGCACGGAACAAGGCACTAGGCCGGGTGATAGTTGGGCTGATGTTGTCTTCAACGTGCTCCTGTCACAAGTCCTGAAGAAAGTCCAGAGAACATTAGAGAACAGTTCACTCGTGACCCTAGCGGCTAAATTCGATCGAACTGTTTGCCCCAGCCAGCTTGTGTGCGAAGAGCAGATGCCCTTGCTGCAGGTGACATGGGCAGACGATATAGCACTTATGATTACAGTAGAAAAGCCACGGATGATATGGCATACTCTCCCCCGAGTTATGCAAGTGCTTGTCGATGAACTCCATTCCATCGGAATGGAAATTTCTTGTGGCCCGACCAAAACGGCGGCGCTTGTGTTATTACGAGGACCAGGCTCTGTGCACACAAGAAGACAGTTGTTCAAGAATGCGCAAGCTGAACTCCCTGTTCTCACTGAGAAGATGGGACTCAGTCTGCCACTCGTGCCGCAGTACAAGCATTTAGGTGGAATTCTGACATTTAAAGGCACATTATCCGCAGAGATATCCATGAGATTTGCCAAAGCCAGGCAAGCCTATTGGAGGTCTGCGAAAGCAATATTTCGTCAACGAAATATAGTTGACAAGGTGAAAGCACAGCTGTTCCAAGCATTAGTCATGGCAGTGTACACATGGGGAATAGGGGCCTGGCCAGCGATGTCGAAAGCAGACATGAAGCATTTTCAGGTCTCGTACTGGAACTTGCAGCGCCTTCGAGCACCCCAAAGGGAGGGGAAAATGTCGCATGAGACAGTATGCCGTACCTTTGAATGTCCGAGTCCAGTTGATCTCCTCCATGCAGCTAGAGCCAGACACTATGCAACCATGCTTCTGCATGCTCCCGATCCAGTTTGGACGGTAACGCATCTCGATCAGCCGACTGCTGAGATCTACCGACATGCAATTGAATGGGTATATGATGCCCTCCAGATGGAGAGAGGTTTTCGCAACATGACACCCAGTCAAGCTTGCAGGTCGATTTGTGCACTTTCAACGAATCGATGGAAGTCGACAGTTCGAAGAGCTGCAGAAAGGTGGCGACTCTACCGCCTACGAGCGCAGCAAGTAACCAGAGCCTACCACAGAGTGCTAAGCGCACTCATCCGATGTTCTCTATGTGACCAAAGCACCATGGTTCAAGAATGGAAACATCTTTGCCTGATATGCAATAAAGGCTTCGAGAAGAAAAATGCTTGGTTTCTCCATGCTAACATTGTGCACGCCTACAAAACGATGGAAGGGGAGGCCGTAACAGGGACAACTTGTTGGTGCTGTGCGAAACAATACCCAACGTTGGGGTCTCTGAAGAACCACCTCCGATACAGTCGGGCGTGCTGCACGTATTTCTGGAAGAATCATGAACTTCTCAAGGATCAGGCGGGAGCAGCCCCTAAACACCCTCAGTTTCCATGGACTCGGACTCAAGGGACCGAACAGGTACCTCCAGAGCCGATCCAACGAGATGCCGAGCTTTTCCGTAGTGAATTGCAAGAAGCGCTCCGAGACTTTGCACCTCCTGAGGAGGAGTCGGGCTTCGTTGCAGCGCTCGCTGACACGCTGCTGAGGGTTGCTTACCGGGCCATGCCAATTGATGACATCTTGCAGGTCCTTCGGACATGGGCTCTTGAATTCAACAAACCAGAACAGCAGACAATTTGTGAGGCTACCGAGCAGACCATCCAAGCAGTTTCACGCATGCGACAAAAGAATAACATGGATCATGTGACGTTAGAGTCTCTCGAACGGGAAGACGACAGAGCGAAAATCCATGTTATGCGGGCCACCCCTCGAGTGCCAAGCACTTTTTCAGAAATGTATGTCCTGCATTTTTTCAGCGGCCGAAGACGCATGCATGACCTCCAGCAAGCATTGGAGAGTCTCACAATACCAAGCGCGACGATGCTTTTCGTGATTTCTCTTGATGTTATGGTCTCTGCTGACCATGGCAATTTAACCGATGCCGATCAGCAGACAGCAATCTTGAGGCTTATCCGATTAGGAATAATAGCAGCAATTTATGCAGGGCCGCCGTGCGAAACCTGGACAATTGCAAGGTTCCAGCCAGTCGAGGGATGTAAGCACCCTCCTCGTCCTTTAAGGTCAAGAAAGGAACCATGGGGCGTTGTGCATGTCAGCTTGAAAGAAGGGCAGCAGTTAGCAGTAGGAAACGAACTCATGTGCTTCGCTCTGCATTCCATATTGGAATTGGCGCTTGTGGGAGGACTTGCGGTCCTTGAGCATCCCCGCAATCCGCATGACTTCCATACCAAGCACAGACAAGCTCCGAGCATCTGGGAGACGGTGATGGTTGACTGGCTAAGGATGACGGGCCTTTTTCACAGTCTCACTTCGGAGCGAAAAGCCCCAAACCTACCACCCTTTTCATTGCAGGACTGTCGCACGAGACGACGGAGGCGCTTGAAAAGCAGAGTAGGACCACTGTTTGCCCAACTTCAACCTCGATCGGTCTGTGTGGGAAGGAATGGGCTACCAGCTCATTAAAAGAGTACCCTCCGGACATGTGCTGTTTTCTTGCCCGATTGTTTGGTAAATGGTTGGAAGGGGCAAACATGAAGTCTGGCCCACCTCCTGAAAGTGCAGACTGGCTAAGAGCCATGCACGTCAGGGAGGTGGGAAATGTACAGAAGGAAGGGCCAGACTTCCATCCGTCATTAATTAAGAATTCACATAGCTAGGCGCTGAGTTCCCGAACACCTTGCGCGAACAGAAAGAAAGAAAGCTATATACTATAGACATACATGATCTCTATGCGTGTATATACCCTACCCGTTAAACGGTGTATACATACAGTCATATAGAGTCATACAGTATATATGTATGCGTATATCATTCGCAATGTTTGCAATTATTCAATTATCAATCAGAATCAGAGGATAGCAATGAATTTTCCTAGCCTGTGTTGATTTGTGTTGTGTTTTCACGAGCCGTGCAAGACCGGGCATACCCTCAGGCAATTTGACACTGACGCTGCAGACATATGCTTTCGTTGAACAGAAGGTTCCTACTGGTGACCAATTCGAGGGGGGCCAGCACAAACAACACGGCCAATTTGGGACTTCAGGGTCTAAGGCATGCCAACAATCTACGCAACCGAGCAACCCCCCTGCTGGGTGCGAAGCACGGTGTTTGGTTGCTTCCCAAACCCGCCAGCGGCTAAGCTAACATGCATAAGTAGCTATTCGGCTAAGCTTCCCGGGTTTTCAACGAACATTTGCCCAGGTCAATGTCACCCACTCATGCTCTCTTTCACTGGCCTGGTGTATAATCAGACCATCGGGGCACTCCTCCAAGAAAAAGTCTATGTCCTGTTGAAGTTTGATATCCTCCATCATTCTACTGTAAGTTAGGACGGGTAGAAGAAGACAACACAATACAGCACATAAAGTCTAATCCAACTCGACCTGGCCCGATTTATGCTTCCCACGTCCTGACCGTGCTGTGAAGAAGCCAGGCTGTGTGAAAACAACCCCGCTTGCGCTGAACTGAACTTGAAGGGCCTGTGCTGCCCCAATCCTGCGGGTGCGGCCCTAGGCGCGCGAGGGAGGGAGGGAGGGAGGGAGGGAGAGAGAGAGAGAGAGAGAGAGAGAGCACAGGGGCGCTTGGGGGGGAGAGAGCCATATTTTTGGGCTGGCTCCGTTGGTCGTTTTCGCAAATGCCCAACGGATTTGTTTTGGCCGCGAAAACGATGCCTTGACGAGGCTGCTGCGACTCAGAGATTGACGCTGGGCAGTTGGGAAGGGTGGGGTGGGTTCAACTTGTATGACCATCTCTGAGCATCTAGGGTTCAACTTGTGGGGTTCATCTTCTAGTTTTCAACTTCAATGAGTATCCCCGTTGAAATTTCCTCTACAAAATGATGGGCCTTGAGGCCACTATAGGGCTGTCATTTTGTAAGGAATTTATTTTGGCCATCTATAAAATGAGGTTACGGCCTAGCATTTTGTAGACAGGCGTGTTTGACGCCTACGTCAAGCAGAGCATTTTGTAGTGAAAAAAGGGGGGGTGGGTCCCATCATTTTGTAGTAACATGATGTTTACTATAGAATGGCCATGTGGTAGTGCAACAATTCATTCTGTAAGCAATCTGAATCCTCATTTTGAAGATGGCCAACATGAATTTATTGCAAAATGATACAAAATGAAAGCCCTATAGTGGAATCCAGGACCATCATTTTGTAGAGGAAATTTCAACGGGGATCCCTGAAGAGACTGGATCGGGATGGATCGGGACCGTCCTTCTGCTGTCTACTTGCAGCCATTTTGGCCCAATGACGTGTCCATTTAAAGGGTGTCCAACCTTCTGCGGCGTGGCCTTCTGTACGGAGGAGGTTCCGCCGCCATGGTGGGATGACAAAAGGCGATGCTGGAGTGCCTTGAATCATTATTTTGTTTGATCTACCTCCAATGTTGAAAATCAATGAATATCAATGATCAACTGTCATTGTCCGCTTCAGATGCAGTCTCTTTATGTCTCTTTGGTATTCTTGGGGGTCATCTGAGTCTCACGCTGCAAAATGGTCGGCGTTGGGGCATCACATACTCGAAAGAGTCATCACCATGTGTTCTGGGATGAGCATCTTGGTTTGAAACATTGGTTCCAAACTTGTTTCAGCTTGGTATGCACATGGATGGCCATGGATTCAATTGGATGGCAATGAATTCAAATGCACTTTGTCAGGAAAGAAGGAAGGTGGACATGGACAAACACCATCTCCAAGCACAAGAAGGTCTGCGTAGCTTGGCAGATTTAAGGCAGGATTACGCAGGCAACAGAAAACAACAGTTTGGTTTCATAGGCAGCACTTCCGGCTCGAGTTTGCCCGTCACCATGGCTGTCCGTGCAATCGTGTGTGCCTTGCTGTGGTGCTTGTGCTCGGGTGGTGCAATACCATCGTTGAAAGACGACACCACATGTTGCACACCGGAAGACAGGTTGGAGATTGCTTGTGATTGCTTTTAAAGATTTTGGACGTCATTTTGTAGATAGTTGTAGGTCATTTTGTAGATACTGTGTCATTTTGTAGAGACACGCGCGCGCTCTCCGGCGGAGGTGGTATCCAGCTGAGACCTTGATTCCAGAGTTGACGACCTGGGCAGTGTCGCTGCTTCAGGAATCCAACCCTTTGTATCAGGTCCTGGATCTCTTTGGTGCTTCTGGGCGGGTTGCAAGAGTTTGGAGATCAGCAGGGTTCAATGCCGCAGGATTCGACGTGAAGCTAAATCCTCTCCATGACATTTGCTCCGAGCAAGGTTTCAAGGAGTTGGTCAGGCTTGGATGCAAGAATCTCTCCTGACAAGTTAACACTTTATAATGTTTTGGATTGTTTTGGGGCGCTTGGTTTGGATTTGATATCATGCACCCTTTGAATTTTACAAGAGAGAGAGAGAGAGAGCCGTGGCATGGGTTGAAGTTTGGCTGGAGGCCCTTGCTATTAGGTTGCAGGCCATTGCTATTAGGTTGGAGGCCCTTGCTATTAGGTTGGAGGCCATTGCTATTAGGTTGGAGGCCATTGATGGCCATTGCTATTAGGTTGGAGGCCATTGCTGCTATTTGATATCGTGCACCCTTCAATCTTCAATCTTCCATTTCCATCCCAGGCTGACTCGGGGCGCGCTGATTGTGGCGGCCCCGCCCTGTTCACTCTATGGCCCAGCCTGTCAGAGCGTACATAAGCGGACCATGCAGAATGTATTGGGTGACTTGTCAAACTACAAGGTGAGGTTAGCACGCCGAATATGGCAGAATTTTGTGGCTTGACTGAACAAAACCATACAAGACCATGCAAAACCACGGTTGCATGTGGTTGCACTAGAATACGTTTGAGTTCCTAATAGTTGCGTCTACAAAATGGATTGAAATAGATCACAGAGTTCTACAAAATGGATCAAGGACGATCAACACTCAATGTATACCAAGAAGATCACTACAAAATGATGGATTGCATGAAAAACATCATTTTTGATTCATTTTGTAGCTTTGAGGCCTCTTTCATGGAAGTGATGTGGCGCGTGCACAGCCTGGTTCATGTTGTGATAGAGCAGCCGAGTGGAAGCTGGGCCTACAAGCAGCCGGATATGGTTCAGCTTTCCAAACTTATGGGTTTGCAGCTTGTCGGGCTATTGCGTTGTTGCATCGATTCACATTGTTTGATATTGGCTGTCCCAGCAATGTGCACACATATGGACGCTTGTGGTCATGTGTCTCTTGTGATTCTCATGGCAAGACCCATCAGGCTGGTTACTACCACCTGGTTAGCCTTCTTTGGGCATGATATGGCAAAGTGCACGCACCTGAAGAGTGATATGAGGCCGGGTACTACGTGATGCTGTAGGAGTATATACTGTATGTAGTTAAAGGATGTTAAAGGAGATGTTAGGAGTATTTAGGAGTACTATTTACTTTAAATTTGCATACATTTGCTTTGATTGATGTGTCATCAATCCTTGGCACAGGACAATTCAATCCCTGAAGCGGACTCTGACTAAGAAGGACCGCTTGCGTTTCAAGGCCTGCAATTCCAGCTGGTGAATACTTCTATGTTTCATTTTTTTGTGTAGACAAACAGCCTCAAGTAGTAGACAAGGAAAAAGAAAACCTACAAAATGATACCATTCCCTGGGAGGTCTCATCATTTTGTAGATGTTTGGCAGTTTTCATTTTGATATGCATAGCTAAACTGACAGGCGCGATTCCATAGGCGGCAAAATCGACGGGCAAACAAGAAGGCGACTTGGCGCAAGCAGTTGCATTTAATGGAAGCTATTTTGACCTATTTTGATATATATTTTTTGAAAAGAACAAGGTCTACTACACAAAGTCCACCTCTTCCTCGGGAAAGAGAGCATGGCAAGGTGGCAAAGACCTTGCCAGCAGCGCGGTGTTTCCAGTAGCATTCTGTAAAGCGTTGCTTGGGTGCTGGCTTGACCAGTGTGTGATTGACCGGCGTTCTAACAAAAAAGATCGCGTGGCACGCGTGCGGGCTAGGGCCTGACGCTTCCAAGAGTTGACATAATAGAATGTCGTTTCATTTGTTTGGCTTCAGATGGCCGTTACAAATCAGTACAGTGCCGCGGCCTTTTACAACGTGGTGTATCGTTGCGTTGGTCGCCAGCGGGTGCGAAAACGCGAGAAATCTACCGAAGTCAGACAGCAATCAGCAGTGCATTTTGTAGTGGCATCAGTTCTGATTTGTTTCATTTTGTATGGTGCTTATCCATGTTTATCATTGTTTATCATCTTTCTTGGTAGGGCAAGCTACTGGACGTCCTTGATTTTGTGTTCTTATGTGTGATTGTCTCTGTATGAAGTTGCATTTGCCTGCAATTGCTTAGCTTTCAGTTTTGCCGTGCCTCACTAACTCACCATTGCATGATTCCCAATCGTTTCAATTGCAAAGGCAAAGCCTCTTTCTTGGGAAGAGCACCTAGCGGAGCAGCAGAGTGCAGGGAACTCGTCGCAGCTTCAGCCAGGTGCAGACGGCGCTACAACGTCATGTATATATACTGCATGTAAATATATATATATAAATATACTACATCAAGTGTGCACTTTGCATTGCTCTACCGCGCTGCCTCTACAAAATGGATTGAAATAGATCACAGAGATCTACAAAATGGATCAAGGACGATCAACACTAATCGCTGGCTCTTGCAGTTTGTAGTGTTTTCCACTCTCTGACATGTTCCTTTGCTTTTTTTAATTCTGTTGCCGAAGGTGTGGGAACAGCCTGCCCAGCCCTTCCTGATGCAAACGCACAGGGTCCAGAGCAACCTGTTGGAGCAGGCTCAGCATCGATAGAAATAGGCCGGTCTACAGATGATTGTTTGGTCCTGGTCTAGCTAACTTGAAATGATTTGATCCAATTTGGTCAATGTTTTCTTGGTGAGTCTTTGGTTTCTCTAGTATGCTTTCGTATTGATATCCTTTGTAATCCGTTGATTTCCTTTGTGCATTTGCTTTTGTCAGCAGGTAGTTTACCTTTGATTTCCACCGCTTTGCATTTTGATCATGTTGTAGAGTTTTTATCTCTAACTTTTTATTTGCGGAAGGTGACCAGGAGAAGATGCTTGTACCCCATGGTGATGCAAGCACAGAGGTGCCACAGCAAGCCACTGTGGCAGGCACAAAAGTAACATGATAGTTTCTCTACCTCAATTGAACTCTCAATTGACATAACTGATTTGACTTACCTGCTTGCTTTCCAATGTTTGGCATTTTGTAGAGTTCTTCCTTTTCTCTGACCTTTCCGTATTTTTTCTGGCAGAAGCGGAAAGAGCAGATGACGCAGAGCAGAAGACAGATCCCATGGAGCCAGTCGTTGAGGCAAGCATTCCTTGAATCTCCTTGTCAGTTTAGGTTCGCTATATTCTTGGATGAGTATGGATGAGTATTGTTATTGGATGTTTTTGGGTGTTATTATTGGTGGAAGATTGGCCTTGTTCAGTTGGGGGTGACTTTCAAACTGTAATTGCTGGAGGCCCCGCAGACCAATCCGGACGCTCCGACTGAGGTGGCAGGTGGATCGTTTTCTACAAAATGATTGTTGTTTGCGCTTACTTTGCATTTTGTAGAGTCTTTTGTAGAGTCATTTTGCAGTTTGGATTGTTTTTTCCACTCTCTGACATGTTCCTACCTGATCTATTATTTTTTGTTGATGAGATCCTGATGAGGGTGTTGGCCAAGGACGCTACTAGGGGCTCCTGGCCTTACTACTAGGA